TGCTGTGGGTGTTGTGGGTGCTCTGGGTGCTGTGGGTGCTGTGGGTGCTGTGGATGCTGTGGGATCTGTAGGTGCTGTGGGTGTTGTGGGAGCTGTGGGTGTTGGGGGGGGCTGTGGGAGCTGTGGGTGTTGTGGTATCTGTGAGTTTTGTGGGATCTGTAGGTGCTGTGAGTGTTGTGGGAGCTGTGGATGTTGTGGGTGCTGTGGGAGCTGTGGGCGTTGTGGGATCTGTGGGAGCAGATTGACCCGTGGGAGCTCTGGGTGCCGTGGGAGCCTGGGGAGATGTGGGAGCTGTGAGTGTCATGTGGGTTGTTGGAGCCTTGGGAGCTGTGGGATCTGCAGGTGCAGTGGGATCTGTAGGTGCAGTGGGATCTGTGGGTGCTGTGGGATCTGTGGGTGCTGTGGGATCTGTAGGTGCTGTGGGATCTGTAGGTGCTGTGGGATCTATAGGTGCTGTGGATGCCACGGGTGCAGTGGGATCTGTAGGTGCTGTGGGAGCTGTGGGTGCCATGGGATCCCCAGGAGCTGCCGGAGCCTTGGATCCTCCCCCCACGCCTCCTCCTCCTCCCCCCCAGGCGGTGATGAAGATCATGTCCATCCGCAAGCCCCTCCTCTACAGCTTCCAGAGCTCCCTTCCCAAGCTCCCGGTGCCCCCCGTGGAAGCCACCGTGGCCCGGGTACGCCATTCCCGTGGGATTCGGGGTCCCCTCGTGGGGTGGCAGTGCCGGGGGGGTCACCCGTGTCCCCTCCCGCAGTACCTGGAGTCGGTGAGGCCGCTGCTGGACGACGACAAGTACAAGGAGATGGAGGCCTTGGCCAAGGAATTCCAGGAGAAGACGGCGCCGCGGCTCCAGCGGTACCTGCGCCTCAAATCCTGGTGGACCACCAACTATGTGAGTGGGGGGGGTCACCTGGGACACGGGGGACCCCCCTCCAGCCTTTGGGGTGGTGACCGTGGACCTGGTGTCTTCCCCAGCGGCGTGAGGAGGGATTTGGGGTCTCCGGGGTGTCCTGGCTGTGGCAGTAGGGGCAGAGGGTCCTGTGCCCTGTCATTGTCACCATCCCCTGTTTCTGCCTCCTGTCCCTTTCCCTGTCCCCTACTCTTGTCCCTGTCCCCATTCCTGTCCCCATCCGTGTCCCTGTCCCCTATCCCATGTTCCCTCT